GATTTATCGGAGGAGCTATCTCTTGGCAATCAAGTCTTCAGAAGTGTGTTGCACTATCGACAACCGAAGCTGAGTACATTGTCGCTACTGAGGCAAGCAAAGAGATGCTGTGGATGAAGAAGTTCCTCATGGAACTCAGCCATGATCAAGACAAGTACGAGCTGGGTTGTGACAATCAAAGTGCAATCCATCTTGCGAAGAATTCGACCTATCACTCCCGCACTAGGCATATTGATGTGAGATATCACTGGATCCGGGATGTGGTGGAAGGTGGAGAGCTCGAACTCGTCAAAGTGCACACTGACCAAAATTGGTCCGACATGATGACGAAGCCGATTCCAGCAAGGAAATTTGAAGACTGCTGTGAAGGAGCCAGGTTGATGCTGAAGCCGACGCATTGAAGTCGGAGGGGGAGATTTGTTGGGCTTCGTCTTTTAATGCTAAGCCCAAGCCCATTGAGGGGTTTCCTAAAAACCTAAACCCTAGATCTCAGCTCATCTATATATTCATTAGTTGTGGGTGGAGGCTAGGTTAGAGATTGAGAAAAAATTATTTAAGAGATTTGTGAGCAAAGCTTTGTGCTTTGTATTTGAGAGATCTTTAGAGAGAATTTGAGTGAAACATCTCTAGGGAAGTTTGATTATCACCATTGTTGGAGAGGTTGAGTTAACCACCTCTTTGGTGAATCTTGATTCTTTGTACCCATTATTTCATAGTGGATGTTTGAATTGGACTAGGTCCCGTGGGTTTTTACTTATTCATTGGAGAAAGTTTTCCCACATTAAAACTGCTTGTGTTCTCTTTTTCTCTCTCCTCTTTATATTTTTCGTTTTTCCGCTGCGCTGCTCGACCTGGTGAAGTTCAGGCCGAGGTAAGATTGCCGAGATCCGAGATCCAGGATCTTGTGGATTGACTTCCGCATAAAGGTTTCTGAGCCGAGTTGAGGGAACCGAGTTCCCAACAGAGAGCGGGAAGGATTTGAGAAGAGGAATGAGTAATTTAAATTGCTGGGCATTGATTTGCAATTAAAAATTATGCATGACTAAGATCTTCTCATATAAAATGGTCAAGTTAAAATAAAAAATGAGATGATTCATTCTCGATTAGATTACTTTAAAATTTGATTTTAGGTCTCTAACCATAATTCAAAAGAAAGTATAAAAATAAGGGCAATACTTTTCTCCTCTTATAGGAGAAAAGAATTATTTCCTGCAAATATATCAGAATTCGTGCCAACTTTTAAAAAAAATAAAATTGATGACCCCACTTTTTTTGTCTCAACATGAGACAATTATTTTCTCATTTAACATGAGAAAATCATTGCCCTAAAAATAATTACTTTTTCACAAAATCAAATTATAATTTGCAAACTATAATAAAAAGATATACTATGAGTGTGCATAACAACCTTCCTAGAATCAGTTTTTTTTTTTTTAATTTTTGTTCCTGGAAACATAAATGGATAGAAAAAGTGTTTGACAAAACTAATTTATTTTTTTTGTTCCCGAGAATGAACCAGTTTAATTTCTATGCTGGGAAATAGAAAAAAGAATATTTTTTTTTTTGCTTTTTTATTCCCTAACACAAAATGATAGACACTTGTCTTTTTTAGTCACTCACCACCACCACCACCATCTCGACACGATCACTACCACCATCGGCGTAGTCGTCGTCGTACCACCACCGATGTCGTCACCGCCACCACCACCACCTCCATGATGCCACCGCCACCATTACCACCACCCCCACGCCACCGCCAACATCACTACCACCATACCGCACCACCGCTACCACTGCCGTCACCATCACCATCACCACCACCCTCACCAACCACCACCACCACCGCTGCCGTCACCACTATCACAACTAGCATCACCACGCCACAACCACCACTACCACCATCGCTGCCATCGCTACCATTACCACCACCATCGCCGCCGTCACTACCGTCATCACCACCACCACCATTACCACCACCGCACCACTACCACCACCGCCGCCACCATGCCACCACCACCACCACACTATGAAAAGGAAAGTGATGATCTGAAATTTTTTTATGGTTAATAGGAATGATTTTTTATTCTATTAATTGTTGTGTTATCAAACGCAATTCTCATTCTCGGAATAAAAATAAAATATGTTATCAAACATTTTTTTTTTCTCTGAAACTTTTTCAAGTTATAGAAATAGAAAATAATTGTTTCTCTTTAGAAACAGTGCCAATGAATAGAATGGTTGTCATGCACACCCAATATATATTAACATTATGGATAGCTATTGAAAAATATTTCTTTCATTGAGCTCAGAGAAGAATACATCATTTGATTTATTAAAAATAAGAGTTAATACATTATAAAAATATTATATTTTAATTAACTTTTAAAATAATGTAAATGCTGAACAAAAGGCAATTATAACCAGCTCAAAATATTTTTATTGAATTATATAAGATGGTTAGAAAAGTTATTTTATTTCTTTATAAAAAACATATGCAAATGATTTTTTTAATATTATTTATTTAAATAAATTACTTTGAATTGGTTTATTATTTATTTATTTAAATTATTTATTTTATTAAAGGGACAAGTTAATGAATATATCATTAATTTCATAGAGAAAAATAAATAAGGTAATGAATTGTTTTTATTTATTATTTATTTTTTAATATATTTTATTATTATTACTTCTATAATAATTGTCATATTAATAAATAAATAGGGATTAATATTTCTCAACATATGTAAAAGTGTATAGGAGCCATATGGGATCATATGAGAAGAAGAGAGAGAACAAAACAATATGAATCCTACATACTATTATATGTGTATAGGAGATAAAAAATTATCTCCTACTATACCGAAATAAATAAGGTAGGAAACAAAATTATAACCATGTACTGGTAGTTGTCATATCTGAAAATACAACTGTTAGCCGCGTCTCCATGAGTCTCAAGCTCTGATACCCGGACACGAGATTTTTTTGAAAATGTGCGTGTCGGACACGGACACGTGTCCGACACGGACACATTCCGACACGCGGTCAACATTTTGGGACACATAGTCAACTCTCCGACACGTTTTTCCGACACGCAGTCAACTTTTTTCGACACGTGGTCGACGCTCGGACACACTGGGACACGTTTTTTTTTTTAGTCTTTTTTTATTAACTAAAAAAAAATCATTTATAAATCAATTTTTCTTCTATTATGAAATTTGATATGAAAAATTAACAAGGTGCGAATTTTTTTTTATATATATTTATGTTATAAAATTTGAATCTTTGATTGGTTATATGACTCATTATGGACTGTTATATGTATTAAATATAAATTATATTATATATTAAAAATATTATTTAATATCAAAACGTGTTCCAACGTATCGAAAAATGTCATTTTTTAAAATTAACGTGTACGCGTGTCATGTCGTGTCCCGTGTCAGTGTCCGTGCATCATAGGTCTCAAGTTCTGACCACCACGTGTCACGAACATGAATTCGACAACTATATGAAGGAATCTAAAGATGTGATACTAAATTTAGTATACTTAGTTTGATTTACTAAGAGTATTATTGTATCCTTGAGTTATAAATTACTTTTTAAGTTATTAAAGTTAAAAAAAAATTAAAAAATTATTTGGTGATTACATAAATTTTTTTAACTTAAAAGTTATTTAAAAGCACATTTTAAAAAATCTCTCTCTCTCTCTCTCTATCTGGTTCTTCATTTTAAAAAAAATCACACAATTTAATAAAAGTTGATAAGAGCTTAAAAAAAGTTCTCCTATAAGCTTTTGACTTTTATCTTCTTCTTCTTTTATTATAAAAAAAGTTTTTCATTATAAAAGTTTTTCTCAAAACCTGTTTGACCTAACTTATGCTTATAAAGAGAAGAGAAGTTAAAAATAAGAGGATCAAACAAGTACTGAGTCAATAATATATTCATATTATTAAATAATTGTTATATTCATTAATATATTAATTTTCATTAACATTTTATTAACTTATTTTGATTAAATTGAATGGAAAAATATTTATACTTTTAAAAGGCATAATATTATGTCATTTAAAGTAAAATAGTAATATTTTACTTGATATTTAAATTAAAAATCTATCAATAACCTCCTATTCTCTCCCATCATGAATTTTCATTATATAATCCTCTCTCTCATAAAACAGAATAATTTTATTTGAAATGATCCAATTCTATTTTATTCAAAAGGATAAATATTTTTCTCAAATTAAATGTTCAATTTGAGAAAAATATTTATCCTTTTGAAAATATTCTGAGTTGGCTAATATTTCTTTGTAAAGAAAATAAAATTTTGATTTACGAAGATGCCATTGCCATCTCTAGATGCCCAACGTGCTTATATTTTCTCCATCAAAGCACAGTATTCGTATATTTCAATTATTCCTCTTTGAATGTTTGGTTAGCTCTTACCAAATTTCAAAAGCTTGCAAACACTTTTTTGAAAACCACAATCCAACCACTTGTTTTTTATTGTTCTTTTTCAATCTCTTTCCCCGCACACTTCTCTGATTGCAACCTTTAAATTTGGTCCTTTCAAAGCAGCTTAAACTCCATATGGCAAGTCAAACGAACATAACAAAAAACCAATCTAACACGCCTACGCATACTATCAATTGGGCTAATTACCATAGAGGTGCGTTAAGTAATGTCATATAAGAATATACACAAAACCAAAACTTGCATCTCAACCCCAAGCAACCTCAATAAATGCCTCCTAAGATTCTTTCTTCTCCTACGTCAAACCTTGCCAAACCTATATCCCTATAGAGCAGAAAAATCGAGTCAGAGAAGTGAGAAAAAACATTTTTTTATTACTTTCTATAGTATTTCTTCCAATGAATAGGCCCCAGTACTTTGTGTATAAAACTAGCTGGTAGATATTGAAGGAGAACCAAAGTAGTTTGCAATTCTTGTAATCACATAGAAAGATACATAAAGAAAGAAAGTGTTACATAGAAAAGATGAACATGATGCCTATCATTAGCAAATTGTATTGTTCTTCTTCACAGACAGTGCTGGTAGTTAGGAGGAGGCCACATGTGGTGAATGGAGGGGGTTTTGTAGTCACAGATTGTAGTACTCAGAGGGTTGTTTTCAGGGTTGATGGATGTGGAATTCATGGCATAAAGGGTGAGTTGATTCTAAGAGATGGGGATGGAGAAGCTTTGCTTCTCATGCGTAGAAAGGTATGTGAAAAATTTGTACCTTGTCAATTTGAAGTTCGGGTTTTTAGATTGTGTATTGTGTAAGTATGTTTGTTTAACTGTTTTTGATATATCAAGGAAGTTCTAGCTATATTCTACACATTAAACCACTTTATTGAGATTGTTGTGCTAGTTCTTTGGGTTTTATATTATGTGGGCATGACCAGGTAAAATTTTCAACTTGATTTTACTTTTTGTAATGTACAGGGAGGCATGGTTGAGGCCCTCAGCATTTACAAGAAGTGGAAAGGTTACAGTTTAGATTACGAAGGATTACATAACTTGGTTTTTAGCTTAAAAGAACCCAATTCCCGTTTGGTTAGGAACAATGCAATCAGAATTTCAATTGAACCCAGGACTATTAGTAACAAAGGCTGGGACTTTGAGATCAGGGGCTATTTCCCTGATAGAAATTGTAGCATTGTTGACACTAGGGGAAACGTAGTTGCACAGGTATGAAATTTTGTAAGTCTGTTAATTAAAAAAAAAAAAAAAAAAACTCCCCATTAATTGATTAATTCTTTAAGTTGTTAATTAAAGTGCGGATGATTAATTTATGCACAGGTTGGGGTGAATAAGGAAGTGGAGAAATTGATGGAAAGCAAGGATTTTTATCATGTGGTGGTGAAACCTGGGATGGATCAAGCTTTTGTTTTTGGAGTCATCGCTACCCTTGACTATATTTATGGTGAATCCACGTACTGCTAAATCCGAAATTGGGCAGAGCATGCTATGGTTTGCTTTGTATGAAACCAACAATGGTTTTCTCCTATCACAAAGATGTGTATTTATGAAGCTTGTAGCCAAATGGGGATTTAAGGGTTTTGAATGGAGGAGATAATGATCAACTAGTTTACAAAATTGTCTTTGTATATTTTGTACAGGAAATTGGATCTGTTACTTTGCGTTAAGCTAATGCTTATTTTATTATATTAGATGCGCCTTGTTTCTTCTATCTGATATTTGCATTAATTGTTTGACAATGATGGATGTGAAAGTTATTTAATTATTCCAGTAATTAATGTTTATGGACTGATTTCGAATCTCTTTGCGAATTTGGATTGGCGGTGAATGAGTTTGAAAGTTTGGAACTAAAGTACTGCTTAACTGAATAAAATAGGCACGGATTTGACAATTGGTTCGATTATTACTTTTATTTGAAAGTTTAGTGTTTGGTAGAAGATTTATTTTGGGATTGATGGGAAAGTGTAGGTGGATATTAGAAAATATCACATTTAGTTCAGGTTTTTGAAAAAAATACTAAGCAAATAGAATAGATGGGAAAATGACTTTTGTATTAATTTTTGGATAAAATTCACTGTTACATAATACCACTTGAGATGTTATATTTTGAGATAACTGGAAAAGTGAAAAAACAGATGCGAAGTTTCTTCCGAACATAGATTTTGCAAATTTAAATAAATTTGCCTAGTAATATTTCTGTCAACTAAATAACTTTTTTTACATTTTTCTACTAAACTCATTTTCTAACAATTTCTCTAGTATAATTACATTTTCCTAATATTCAAAAAAATTCGGTCAACTAAATAACTACATTTTCCTAATATTTCTCTAGTAATTACATTTTCCTAATATTCAAAAAAATTCTCCTAAGCCAAATGCCCCTCAATGATTGTGAGTTCGTGCATATACTATACGCAAGTAATACATTGTTGTACGATTAGTTTTGTTGGAATCAATGTATTTTATAAGAAGTTATATTTAAATCTAAACCTATTTTTTAATTTTTTTTTCCAGATAAAAATAGGAGTGACATTCGAGTTGATATGACACGATACATATTCAATACGAATACAAATATATTTAACACGAAGCGAATTTGAAATCAAGTTAACATTTTCAACACGAACACAATTCGCTTATTTTATAAGTTGACATGACATGACAAGATACATATAACTTGTTTATAATATAATATCACACAAATAATCTATAAGAATATTAAAACGAGTTAATTTATGCACGTTAGAATGTTGACATATAACATGATATAAATTTTTGTGTGTTAGATTTTATCATGAATGCAACACAAATTTTTAAAACCGATTAACCAAAATACTAATTTTTCATATTATATTTATGTTAATATTAGTGTGTCGTATTGAAAATTATCACCTCTTACGTGAAAACATCTTTTTTCTCAACCAGTGGCTGATACACCAATAATTTGATATTCCCATTTATTACTGAGGTTGTCTGCATAAAGTGAACATATATTATAATAATTATAAACATAGAGCTGCGGCGAATTTCTTAGCAAGTAAAGATGATTCGAAACATAGGATTCGTCTTGAATTTTCACCTAACTAGACATGGTATCGTTTAAAAGTCTAGCCATTATCTGTCTATGCATGTGGTTTCGACCAGTCCGTGCAATATTCTGAATTTATCAGCTGCTAGAATCTTTCAAAGATATAATTTGTAAAGTCTACTTTTCACTATTGAACATATACGTGCATTAAACTTCAACAGCTATATATGTGAGATTCATTTTTGAAATTGATATGTTTTCCAGAAGTCTTTGGGACATGAGTATTGACTTTGGGTCCCTAAGATACTAAAGAGTACTCCTACTCGATTGATTAGCTGAAGAGAAAAGTAAATAACGCAATAAATGACATGACTAAGCTCGGACAATGACCAAAATGTCATGTTTGGATAAAAAAATTATCAGACTGTCACGTTAACAGTAAATTTTATTAAAATGCCACGCGGCATAATTCGTTACACAGTGTAGCGAAATATGCCACGTCAGAACCAAAAATGCCACATGTCAAATTTTGAAAAATTCGTTACATAGGGTAGCGAATTTTTCAAAATTTAACATGTGGCATTTTTGGTTCTGACATGGCGTATTTCGCTATACTGTGTAGCGAATTACTTGCATGCATAATTCGCTACACTGTATAACGAATTATGCCGCGTGATATTATGGCAAAATTTACTATTGACATGACAATTTAATAATTTTTTTATCCAAACATAACAAAATAGTCACTATTCCGACTAAATTCAATTAATGTGAAGACATGAAAAGAATACAAGAAAAGTTGTAATTAAAGCAAGATAAAAATTATAAAGGCTAAAAGTAAATGAAAAATTAATTTGTCGGATGGATTGTGTTGTGGTAGATGTGACCTTTCACAGTTTCACTTCTTCATTACTCCATCGATTTGAATTTACTATTTTTTAAAATAGTAATATATTATATGGATTTGAATCTTTTCATGTGAAAAAATGATCATGTTATTTGATTATAATCACTTATTTAAAAATATATAATTTTCTCTCTCTTATCTCATCATCAATGAGTTTAAATGAGTGATTGTGATCAAATAATAAGATCACATGACTACTTTTTCATATGATAGAATCAAAATTCATATTATATAGATGTTGAAACAGCTGTTACTTACCTTCGAAAAAGAAAAAGAAAAAAGAAGAGAAATAGTGTTACATTCATTAAACTTGTCTGCCACGTACCTCTATTCTTTCTCTTCAAGTTTGCAATGTTGAGGAACCATGGATAACAATAAGGAGAGATTCCTTCGGACATCACTTCAATAAGAACTTAAGATGTTGTAGTGTAGTACCATACATGATATTAGATTTAAAATAATATAATCAAATCAGATCTGTATATAGTTGTAAACCAAGAGTCTAGTACTCTAGTACCATACATGATATTAGATTTAGAATAATATTATCAAATAATATCTGTATATAGTTGTAAACCAAGAGTCTTACTCTCATAATATATAAAAAATTTCAACAAGGGTTGTGGTTAATGCCAGTTAGGCTTAATTTCTTCAATTCAGTAACTAAAATAATTGCTAAATAAGCCATGTCTATGATTCAGTTCCTATTTACATGGAAATGAGGTTATAATGCAGAGCTCAAGTAGTCAGTTGCTCCTTGAAACCATAGATTTATCTTCATTTCCAACTAACATGCACCAAACTGTCCCAATAACAAAACATAGCCGAATTGTACCAAAACAAAAACAAAAACAAAGAAACCCAAAATGTAGGCCCCATTTGCCATTTAAGCCCGTTACGCACTTTGCCCAACACATGTAGCGTATCACCCTGATCTAAACGCTCATCTATTTGCCCACTTACCTTGATCCGGTCCAAGTTGCACATTTGAACCCTTAACATTTGATTCACTAAGAATTGCAATCTACTTTATAGTGCCATTATAATTAATTGGATAAATTATAAATAACAAATTATACAAAATATAAAAATAAGTCAAAATTAAGTTTCATCGTTTATAAAAAAAGTCGTCGAGCTTTTGTTTCAGATCATTTGAAAATTGGATAAATTAAAGATCAAGCTTGATCAGTTTCATTGATATGCAAAAATTTACGACTTAGTAAAGATTTGAAAGAACAACTTTTTTGTTTAGAAGTATTTTTCGAAAACAAAAAAATTAATACGAATGAATTTTGTTCAAATAATGCATTACTTTAAAGAATTATTTAATAAAATATTATAAACAAAAACAAATTATAAAATAATTTCCCACAAAAAACTTGCTGTTTAATTTAATGTTAAAAGTTTGGCTGCTCCACGCGAAAAGGAGGTTCCGTATATTCTCGAAATGAACAGATTATTACCATGCAAGAATTAATCTTAAATAAGAAATAATTAATCTGTGCCTAAAAGAATTGAGGCTGGAGAAAATTTAAAGAGCTAGAGACAAAATAGATGAAAGCAGAAACATAAAAAAGAAAAAGAAAAAAATCATCACATTGTAAAATCTTGGCTCCTTCAATTTTCTATACACATCATTTGTTCAATATTGAAAAAGAAAAAGAAACCAAAATTCATTGCTATTCTATTATTCTATTCTATTGGTGTTCCATTGTAAAAAGAATGAGAGTGCATGCAGAATATAATAGCAGAACTAAAAGACTGATCAGGTGTGGGTCACTTGAACAAACAATATATGATAAAGCAACAGAAGGCTTTCAAGAAACACCAAATCAAGATATCGCTAATCTTAGGAAGCGTTAAGGGACGACGCTCTACAAAGAAGAGATCTTGAAAAGCGAAACATACGAAGAAGATGAAGAGTGCCACCTTGAGGCAAGTGCAGTTGCCGTTGGAAGTGCTCCACCCCAGTACTGTGTCTCCGCCATGAGGCATGAACGCCGTCGTCGAGGAAGAGGGAGAGGGGAGGATAACTTTGTTATTCAGCGGCGCACCATCGATTATGTTATTCAGTTGTTGCGTTTTTGCTGGCGGCATTGGTGGTGGTGGTGGTGGGTTGGCGGTGGCGGTGATTGTGAGCATTGTGAGGGAGAAGATGAGAAGGAGAAGGAGGCGAGTGGAATTGATGTTTTCCATCACAGAGAGAGAGAGAGAGAGAGAGAGGTTAGAGAAAGAGAGGGTTTGGTTTGTGTTGTTGAGTTTCTTGCTTTAGAAAGAAAGAATGAAGAAGGTGGAGGATTTTTTTTGGGTTTTATTATTTATTTGGTGTTTTCTTTTCATTTTCTGTTTATATTTCCCGCCATGCATGCATTGTCAACTAATTAAGTCATGTTATTATCTCAAATTGGAGTGAGGATATTCTAACTATCAAAAATTTTCACTACTAACTTATTACCCATTACATCACAATTGGATTAAAGAGAGAGAATGTTAAAAAGTTTTTGAAGAGAGAGAAAATATTAATCTAATGGTTATTGGATATGTAGTAAGTTGGTAATAAAGATACTCGCCTCTGAATTCAGATAATCACAATAGTATCCACGACTTTTTTTTTTTAAATGAAAAAGTTTAAGTGAGAGTAGATATCGGTATCTCATTAGGATTCGAGAAGACCCCCAACCTCTTTGAGAATTTCTTGGAGAGATTATATATCGCCTACAAACAAAGTCCTTACATTTGTAAACGAGGTTCGAATCCATTCTCTTGTGGGGTATAGATTAAATTAGCCAACTATGTCCACTTAAATATTTAATGAAGGACATCTTCCGTCATTAGGGGGAGAAAACCAGAAGTTTAATGAATCTCGAAAAATTATTTTGAACGAAAAAAAAAACCAAATAAATTATTTAGGTCCACATACAAGCATAATTGAACTTGAAGTTCAAAAATATCATTAACTTGCTGCAAGATATATCCTTTGTTTGTACAATTTTTGTACAACATGATACTTCTATTTACCATTTTTTATACAATGTAAGCTAAGCATCAAATTTATTAGAGATTGACTAGAAAACAAAATCAATTTTATCATGTTTAAATCTATTTTTTATCCAATTTTCAAATCCTAATTCAATTACTATATCTTATTTATTTAATCTTTATATATTGTTAATTTAATAGACATCAAATATATATTTGGGTTATGTTTTCTTATGTTGTAAGAAAATGATTATCTCATGTTATATAAATAAAATTACAAGTGAGACTCACATGTAAGAGTAGAGAGAAAAAATAGATGTGGGACCCACCTCTACTTTATGTGTGTAGGAAACTTATTTATCTTATGCAACATAAGATAAATATAACCCAATATATTTTTAGGTTGATTGAAAAACTAAATCATTTTACTGGAAAAAAGTCAACTTTGTATTGTTTAAGGAATTAACATTTCTCTTCAAATATGAGATGAAGTTATTAACTACAACCCCAAAACGACATTGGAAAAAATCATGCAATATATTTTAGTAAAATTCATGTTGCAAGAGGAAAATGAAATTTCTAAAATATTATATATTTTTTCTATACTCTAAAATAATGTCATTTTACTTCTTCTATATTTTTTAATATATTTTATAATTTTATATCTTTTAAATTAATTCAAATAACATTACTTTTTAATAAATTTAAGGGGGAAATATATACCAACAATACCACGAGAATATTATATGACCAATATTAGTAATTGGTTTTAATAGCAAAAGGACACTCAGGAATGAAATTTAAGTCCCTCCCCTCCACTCTACCGAAAAAAAAGTCCCTCCCCTCCATAGCACAGTTAGTATTGAAGCCAGCTCGAGTTCAAATTTGCAACTATATATTTTCTTTTTCTTTTTTATATATATATCGGTTCATCAATTATTCAATTAGTTAGATTCAAGTTGTGCAGGACTAGGCCGCAAAACTTCTTGTACCAAGTTTTTAACACAACTATATATCTTATAAGTTTTAAAATCAAATTATGTAACTTAAACTATTTGTTTATACTTGTAAAATATTCTACATAACTAATTGAACTCAAATTAAACGTATCGATCTTGAACCCCAAATATTCAAGCTCGGTATGATTATATAAGCAAGTGTTTAAAATATTGCAACAAGTTATTACTACACTTATTCGAGCTGAACCTGCATCTGTCGAGCTTTCAATTTTTCCCTTGCACTAACAGCAGCTCAACGATAAAAGCTTAATCAGGGTTCTTTTGGAACTGGTTATGCTAAAACCAATCCAATTCTGGTCACCAAAGAGAAAAGCATCAATCATAGAGACACCACAAGCATTTATATCCATCAGTTTGAATAATTAATCCAATGGAGCATAAGACAAATTACAGAGAACTGTCAATCTTAAAAAACAAACAGAAATTTTACACATACGATTTATGCAATGAATTTAATGTTTTTGCAACAACTCTCCTCTTTTATCCATGCTTGAGATGAGCTATGTAAAATTTTGCAACAAAGCACAACATAGGAAGAGTTTCAAATAAAATACTTCGAGTTACCAAAATTAAAACATCACAAGATTCGCATTCATTGCCTTCTTCAACTTTCGTCTAATTAGCTTCCAAGTGCTTAGACTATTAGTCCAAAACTAGCTTGATAATAAAATTTTAAATTATGATCTTATTGAGCTTGGTATAGATTTCCTCAACTCACTGAGTAAGTACATTTTAAGGTTATACTTATTTCACAATCATATTTGAAAAACTAGGGATTTAGTGATGAGACAGAGAGAAACACATTTCAATTATTACTCATAATGGTTCAATACATAAGTTGATCCTATAGCTCTGTTTTCAATAATATTACAATTACATAAAGACACAAACACAGTTTATCTAGGGTGTACTACTAGTAATATTCAATAGGATAATGCCATAGATGCCATAGCTATGCGGGACTTCTGACATTCAGTCCATTAGTTCTGAAATCAAAACAACGGAGGATATCACACATCCACATTTGGCTCATAACTCGGTTTAATCAGGTGTCCAGAGATAGAAACATTTGTTTAACATATAAAATTTTTTTGGGCTAGAGCATATACTTAGAGTTAAGTCCATTAGCTGTCTTACTTCATCATAAAATCTTAAGTCCTTCTGTTAATTTTATGTTTGAACTAAAATCAAACCCTATCACCTCTGAACACAAAAAATTCAAGCTGGGTTCGGTTATGTAATCAAGTCTTCTAAAAATATTGGAACAAGGTATTATTACCACACTTCAAATTCCAGCGGAACCGAGCATTTATTACCAACAGATTATTACCGTGCAAGAATCTCAGAAAGAAACAATTAATATGGAGGAAAATTTAGAGAGAGAAAAAATAGAAATTTTTTTTTTGTCTGTACACATTATTTGTTCAATATTACAAAGAAAGAAAGAAAAAGAGAGATTTCCAAACTCCAAATACCAATTATTTTCATGGCTATTGGTATGGCTATTATTCAATGGTATATACAAAATGAGTGTATATATGCATAATAGCGGAACTTAATAAAGATCTAGATCTACCCCAACACATCAGAGGCGAATATACAAAACAGGGCTTTTGCAGAAGCCCAACAGAAAATATTGCAATACTCATGCCACGATGAAGAACTGTTAATAGTTCCAAAGAACAGATCTTTAAAAATGAAAAACATAAAAAGCGCGTAGAAATCCACCATGAGCTCCATGCAGTTCCCAATAGAGGTGTCTCCGAACGGCTGCGATGGGGAGGCAGTGGAGTTGAGATCGATGGCGGTGGTGGTGGCTGTGGTGATTGTGAGCAAATAAATGTGAAATGGTATAAAATATATTTTGATACAAGATATGAGTGTTTTTTTCCAAGTTATAAGATAATCAGAAACAAAAGAGTTAAACGTTAATATCAAAATGTAAAAAAAAAAAAACACCTATTATTTGTGTAAATAAATAATCAATATTTTTTTATCTTGGTATTTAGTTAAGATATTTTTATAAATATTCTGTAAAATTAACGTTAATATCAAAAGAATATGTTGCTAAAAATACAAAACAACTTTCCTGGGTTTTTTTTAACAAAGAAATTTCCCATAATAATTATTCAAAATTAGCCCTGCCCAAGATATTTACGTAGTGCATTACTTAAGACAAATGATATATTAGACATTTGTACCTAACAAAAGTCTAGAATTCATAGAATTCTGAATTACTGTTTATTGAATAGATATTTTTTAATTGAGAAAAATATAATAAAATATAAGTTAAAAAGAATTTGAATAAAAATATTTCAAATTATAAAAAGTACGTGTGAGCTGTATACAATCCGTAATTAATTTGATTTTGATTGTGTTAGCAATTATAGAAATTAATTGTAAATAGAATTGATTGATAGGAGACATCAATTCTCCGAGTAATTAATTTGATTTTGATTGTGTTAGCAATTATATGAATTAATTGTAAATAGAATTGATTGATAGGAGAGATTAATTCTCTGATTTTAATATTATTTTTTAGAGTGATTTGTGGCTTGATTGAAGCCCAAAATTAGTGTATATAATTACCTCTCTACAAAAGAAGAAATACACAGATTCCATTGTTCAACAATATGTTGTTTTGTGATGAAAATCGTTTAAAAATTTACTTTTTTAGATTTGATGAAGCTCTCCTAGCGAAACCCGGTTTCGAGCGGGTAGACCCGCCAAAAGAAGAAAAAAACTTTGCAATTAGAAATCTTAAGAAAACATATAGGTTAGTATAAGATTGTAAAAAAGACATCATATCTGTATTTCTCACTAAAAAATCTAATAAAATTTACATTAATAGAAAATTAACTAAAATCGTCATATATTTTGATATCACAAGATTTTTTTTCTTTATTTAAAATACTTGTTGAATACCACCGGATTTGACTACACTCTAAAATAATCTTTTAAATTCTTAATCAAATATTAAGTGATTTTTTTCAATCCTTCAAAATCATAATTAAATATTAGTAGATTTTTTTTGCAATTACAAAATTCTTTAAAATTTCAATCCATAGAAAATCTTTCCAAATTAGTACCCTCTCTCTTTATATATATTAGTAGTATATGTCTATTTTATTTAATTACTCTTCACAGACCTCAATCCATTACTCTCTCCTTCCCTCTGAAACTGCGAATTCCTTTTTTACTCTTCACTCTCTCGTCTACTGCTATGGCAGAACCATCCACCGCCGAAACCACCTCCGCCAGCGATGCTCATCCGCCGGCGCCGGCGCCGGCTTCCTCGTCGCTCAACGTCGTCGGATTAACGAGCGACGAGAACAAGAAGCCTTCTCCCAAGTTCTTGGACGAGCCTGAAGACTCCAACATCCAAGCGGTTGGTTCGATCCCCATTCCCGATTTCTCTTTTCTCTCTTTCTCGGCGAGAAATTGACGGTTTATGGTTTTGAATTTCGGTGCAGGTTTCGTCCGGCGACACTCCGTACACGTCAGCTACCACCTTCGAAGAATTGAATCTCTCACCGGAGCTTTTGAAGGGACTCTACGTGGAGATGAAGTTCCAGAAACCTAGTAAGATCCAAGCCGTAACCTTGCCTATGATCTTGAATCCTCCGAATAGGGATTTGATCGTACACGCGCATAACGGTTCCGGAAAAACTACGTGTTTCCTTCTTGGTATGCTTAGTCGAGTTGATCCAAAGTTGCAGGCTCCTCAAGCTTTCTGCATTTGCCCAACCAGGGAGTTGGCTATTCAGGTAAGGTTCTAAGACATTGCTTTTTTAAATCGACATATAATCTTATTCTATCATGGATTAAATAACCCATAACTAAGAATGCAATAGCTGGTGGCCCCATACTTCCGGAAGAAAAGCTATATCCCTCCAAAGGGATATCTGATCGTGAGCCCTAGAAGTTTTTCTTTTTTCTTCTTTTTTTTTCCGTTGTTTTTTTTAGGCTAAATTACCTAAAACCACCTTGAATTTAGGTGGTGTTTCAAAAAACTACCCTAAACTTTAGATTGATGCAATTAACCCACCTATACTATCTCATTCCAACAATTAAACATATCTATTAAATTTACATTAAACGTCGTTAAGTAAATATTAAACACCTTTGAGTAATCCGTGCATCTGAGTAATTATTCGAAGGGTGACTTAGTCATGGATATGGGGACATATGAATTGGTTTGTGCAGAGTATTTAGGATCTGCAGTTGTAGAGCCAGCTTGGTTGAACTATTTCAGGGAATGGGGTCCAAAAACTGATTACAGTATAGATGATGAGTTGAAGAAGGTGGAGAAGTTGTTGCCTGGGAAGCTAAAATCTGCTTTTGAAAATTTTGTAAAGAGTTTACCAAAGGAAGTGCTGGGAGCGGAAGGACCCACAGGTCCAAAGGTGAAGAATAATTGGAGTGGTGATGAAGCATGAACATTGTAGCTTCAGTTACATTTATTCTCATGAACTTCAAAATTGATTTACAATAATGTTATTGGGTTCAATTGCATAAGTGGTTTCAATTTGAGTTTAATTGGAGAGAGACAAAAAAGTCAAATGAAACCAGCAATAGCTTTAAACTAGTACAGAACCTTATCAATTCTCCGTATACCAAATCAATATCAATTTTGATCCTTTCATTTTCCTTATTCAGAGATTTTTTAAAAAAAAAAAAAAAAAATAAGCAACATTACTTGGACCCACCATTATTTGTATAGGATATATTAAACTTGTTTTAATATCTATCTCTCAAAACATTAGAAGAAACAGAAGAAGATTGAAATATAGCTATGAAAACTTTTTTGTAATTTTAATATTAAACTGTCTATTTGCAAAAAGTTATGTTTTTTATCACACATGCAGCTGTAATTTTTTTTTCACAAACCACATGGGTATATGTGATAAAAAAAAATCTCAAGGCATAGGTAATTCTAAAACAAACCATTTACTGCAAAATCACCTATGCCTTTGATTATTTTTTATCACTCGTGTGGTTTGCAAAAGTATATGTTTTTTTATCTGCTCCCGTGATTTTTTACTTTTACAAACCATGGAACATATGTCATAGGTGATTCTTTATTTTTTACAAATCAATGGGACATATGTGATAAAAAACACTGGGCCATAGATGAAAAATTGATATTGATTTGGTATACGGAGAATTGATAAGGTTCTGTACTAGTTTAAAGCTATTGCTGGTTTCATTTGACTTTTTTGTCTCTCTCCAATTAAACTCAAATTGAAACCACTTATGCAATTGAACCCAATAACATTATTGTAAATCAATTTTGAAGTTCATGAGAATAAATGTAACTGAAGCTACAATGTTCATGCTTCATCACCACTCCAATTATTCTTCACCTTTGGACCTGTGGGTCCTTCCGCTCCCAGCACTTCCTTTGGTAAACTCTTTACAAAATTTTCAAAAGCAGATTTTAGCTTCCCAGGCAACAACTTCTCCACCTTCTTCAACTCATCATCTATACTGTAATCAGTTTTTGGACCCCATTCCCTGAAATAGTTCAACCAAGCTGGCTCTACAACTGCAGATCCTAAATACTCTGCACAAACCAATTCATATGTCCCCATATCCATGACTAAGTCACCCTTCGAATAATTACTCAGATGCACGGATTACTCAAAGGTGTTTAATATTTACTTAACGACGTTTAATGTAAATTTAATAGATATGTTTAATTGTTGGAATGAGATAGTATAGGTGGGTTAATTGCATCAATCTAAAGTTTAGGGTAGTTTTTTGAAACACCACCTAAATTCAAGGTGGTTTTAGGTAATTTAGCCTAAAAAAAACAACGGAAAAAAAAAGAAGAAAAAAGAAAAACTTCTAGGGCTCACGATCAGATATCCCTTTGGAGGGATATAGCTTTTCTTCCGGAAGTATGGGGCCACCAGCTATTGCATTCTTAGTTATGGGTTATTTAATCCATGATAGAATAAGATTATATGTCGATTTAAAAAAGCAATGTCTTAGAACCTTACCTGAATAGCCAACTCCCTGGTTGGGCAAATGCAGAAAGCTTGAGGAGCCTGCAACTTTGGATCAACTCGACTAAGCATACCAAGAAGGAAAACACGTGGTTTTTCCGGAACCGTTATGCGCGTGTACGATCAAATCCCTATTCGGAGGATTCAAGATCATAGGCAAGGTTACGGCTTGGATCTTACTAGGTTTCTGGAACTTCATCTCCACGTAGAGTCCCTTCAAAAGCTCCGGTGAGAGATTCAATTCTTCGAAGGTGGTAGCTGACGTGTACGGAGTGTCGCCGGACGAAACCTGCACCGAAATTCAAAACCATAAACCGTCAATTTCTCGCCGAGAAAGAGAGAAAAGAGAAATCGGGAATGGGGATCGAACCAACCGCTTGGATGTTGGAGTCTTCAGGCTCGTCCAAGAACTTGGGAGAAGGCTTCTTGTTCTCGTCGCTCGTTAATCCGACGACGTTGAGCGACGAGGAAGCCGGCGCCGGCGCCGGCGGATGAGCATCGCTGGCGGAGGTGGTTTCGGCGGTGGATGGTTCTGCCATAGCAGTAGACGAGAGAGTGAAGAGTAAAAAAGGAATTCGCAGTTTCAGAGGGAAGGAGAGAGTAATGGATTGAGGTCTGTGAAGAGTAATTAAATAAAATAGACATATACTACTAATATATATAAAGAGAGAGGGTACTAATTTGGAAAGATTTTCTATGGATTGAAATTTTAAAGAATTTTGTAATTGCAAAAAAAATCTACTAATATTTAATTATGATTTTGAAGGATTGAAAAAAATCACTTAATATTTGATTAAGAATTTAAAAGATTATTTTAGAGTGTAGTCAAATCCGGTGGTATTCAACAAGTATTTTAAATAAAGAAAAAAAATCTTGTGATATCAAAATATATGACGATTTTAGTTAATTTTCTATTAATGTAAATTTTATTAGATTTTTTAGTGAGAAATACAGATATGATGTCTTTTTTACAATCTTATACTAACCTATATGTTTTCTTAAGATTTCTAATTGCAAAGTTTTTTTCTTCTTTTGGCGGGTCTACCCGCTCGAAACCGGGTTTCGCTAGGAGAGCTTCATCAAAGCTAAAAAAGTAAATTTTTAAACGATTTTCATCACAAAACAACATATTGTTGAACAATGGAATCTGTGTATTTCTTCTTTTGTAGAGAGGTAATTATATACACTAATTTTGGGCTTCAATCAAGCCACAAATCACTCTAAAAAATAATATTAAAATCAGAGAATTAATCTCTCCTATCAATCAATTCTATTTACAATTAATTCATATAATTGCTAACACAATCAAAATCAAATTAATTACTCGGAGAATTGATGTCTCCTATCAATCAATTCTATTTACAATTAATTTCTATAATTGCTAACACAATCAAAATCAAATTAATTACGGATTGTATACAGCTCACACGTACTTTTTATAATTTGAAATATTTTTATTCAAATTCTTTTTAACTTATATTTTATTATATTTTTCTCAATTAAAAAATATCTATTCAATAAACAGTAATTCAGAATTCTATGAATTCTAGACTTTTGTTAGGTACAAATGTCTAATATATCATTTGTCTTATAATGTCTTATAAGTAATGCACTACGTAAATATCTTGGGCAGGGCTAATTTTGAATAATTATTATGGGAAATTTCTTTGTTAAAAAAAACCCAGGAAAGTTGTTTTGTATTTTTAGCAACATATTCTTTTGATATTAACGTTAATTTTACAGAATATTTATAAAAATATCTTAACTAAATACCAAGATAAAAAAATATTGATTATTTATTTACACAAATAATAGGTGTTTTTTTTTTTTTTTTTACATTTTGATATTAACGTTTAACTCTTTTGTTTCTGATTATCTTATAACTTGGAAAAAAACACTCATATCTTGTATCAAAATATATTTTATACCATTTCACATTTATTTTAAAGTTTTTTCATATAAATCATTATCTTAAAAAATATTTTAAAAAACACATCTTTGATATTTCTACTGCGCTCTTATTCAACAAGTTGAGCAACAAAAAAGAAAGAAAACCCTTCCTCTTAGTTACCATCATTCATTCATTCATTCACACCCAACCTCTCTGTTCACAAATAATAAAACCCAAGAAACCTCTATTTCTTTCTTTCTAAAGCAAGAAACTCAACTACACAACCCAAACCCTCACTCTCTCTTTATTCTCTCTCTGATGGAAAACAACAATTCCCCTCGCTCCCTTCTCCTTATCCTCCTGATCTTCCTCACAATGCTCACAATCACCACAGCCACCACCACCGCCATCGATCTCAACTCCACTGCCTCCCCATCGCAGCCGTTCGGAGACACCTCTATTGGGAACTGCATGGAGCTCATGGTGGATTTCTACGCGCTTTTTATGTTTTTCATTTTTAAAGATCTGTTCTTTGGAACTATTAACAGATCTTCATCGTGGCATGAGTATTGCAATATTTTCTGTTGGGCTTCTGCAAAAGCCCTGTTTTGTATATTCGCCTCTGATGTGTTGGGGTAGATCTAGATCTTTATTAAGTTCCGCTATTATGCATATATACACTCATTTTGTATATACCATTGAATAATAGCCATACCAATAGCCATGAAAATAATTGGTATTTGGAGTTTGGACATCTCTCTTTTTCTTTCTTTCTTTGTAATATTGAACAAATAATGTGTACAGACAAAAAAAAAATTTCTATTTTTTCTCTCTCTAAATTTTCCTCCATATTAATTGTTTCTTTCTGAGATTCTTGCACGGTAATAATCTGTTGGTAATAAATGCTCGGTTCCGCTGGAATTTGAAGTGTGGTAATAATACCTTGTTCCAATATTTTTAGAAGACTTGATTACATAACCGAACCCAGCTTGAATTTTTTGTGTTCAGAGGTGATAGGGTTTGATTTTAGTTCAAACATAAAATTAACAGAAGGACTTAAGATTTTATGATGAAGTAAGACAGCTAATGGACTTAACTCTAAGTATATGCTCTAGCCCAAAAAAATTTTATATGTTAAACAAATGTTTCTATCTCTGGACACCTGATTAAACCGAGTTATGAGCCAAATGTGGATGTGTGATATCCTCCGTTGTTTTGATTTCAGAACTAATGGACTGAATGTCAGAAGTCCCGCATAGCTATGGCATCTATGGCATTATCCTATTGAATATTACTAGTAGTACACCCTAGATAAACTGTGTTTGTGTCTTTATGTAATTGTAATATTATTGAAAACAGAGCTATAGGATCAACTTATGTATTGAACCATTATGAGTAATAATTGAAATGTGTTTCTCTCTGTCTCATCACTAAATCCCTAGTTTTTCAAATATGATTGTGAAATAAGTATAACCTTAAAATGTACTTACTCAGTGAGTTGAGGAAATCTATACCAAGCTCAATAAGATCATAATTT